ATATTAAAATAGAAAAACTTTATTTTACATCATAATAATATTTCACAATATTGCATTTTTTCCTGTATTTTTGATCAAATAAATGCAGCCTTGATGAGCATAAGAAACTCCTGTAAAAAAACATAAAAAATCGTTCTGATTCCAAACTTTTGACCAGTAATGTGTGTGTGTAATTGCATAGTTTACCTTAAAATATGAATATAAATATTAACAAAGAATTTCTCACTTATGTAAATTCATTTAAATAAACATTAGCATTATTAATTCAAGTAATTATTAAACATACACGTTATTGTTAAAGCAAACAAGTAAACAATAACTAAAATCAAAAACTTGACGAAAAAATGAAAAAAGAAAAAAATGACAAGGAAAAGAGAACAATATTACTAACAGCAACGGGCCTTTAGGTTACTAGTGCAGATGTTTTGAGTTTATACTTGTTTACACTCACTTAAGACTAACAACTGTTTATGCTAATACCCACTAGGCGGGCATTTCGACCAAGAAGTGTATGTGAATGTTTATTCACATTACTGTGAGGTGTTCTGTGGATTTGTTCTCCCATGTCTTGTTGACTTTTCTTACATAACTTATGCTTCTTCCTCCCCAAATGCTCGTCTGTGGGGGCTGTGATCTCCAATCGGACGTGCTTGTCCCTCTCTCACAGAAAACCACACTCTCTGTTCCTCTTTTCTTTTTCTGGCATATGTCCTGCAAGCCGTTCCTGAATGCTGACTCAGACAGCCTGGCTGCATTGCATGAGATAAATGAAGACTATTGATTTCTGAGCAAAACCCATCACTGGCTTGTTATCACTTGTTATCATTCCATTACATGCCAGCAGTATTGTCAAATCCTTTTCCTTTATGTCCGCCAGAACAAATGACGAGCTTGATGTTGATAAAGACCATCAAGTCACATAAAAGTTGCTGTGTTTTGCACAGGATCTTGTTTTTGCAGCGGGAAACCCTGACATTTTTGAATTTTCCAGATCACACAGATTCCTATTAGAGTGACGTGATTATGTTCGCGAAATTTCACAGACGTTATGACCTGACCTTAAACAGAAGCAGTTCTTGACTCATTTTGATTCAGAATGATGACTCCTGTGGTCAATTCAGTCTAATTTGCAGTTCGTCTTTCAAAAATTATTTTATTTGTCGGATATCATTCTTTCATTCCTTTATTTGTCGAAGCTCTATACAATTCTGGATATTTAAGTTATGTTATGTTATGTTATGCTATGCTATGCTATGCTATGCTATGTTATATTATATTATATGCAATCTATTATTTATTGAACATTAATATGAAAAAGTACTATATTAAAAACAACAACAATTATATATTTTATATTATTAATAATATATTATTCTTTGTTTAAAGCCCTACAATTTTATAATGTTTAGAATATATTATATTTATTTTATTACAGTATTAACAAAACAATTATATTAAGAATAATATATAATAATAATTATTATATTATAATAATAGTGATTTATTGTTATTAATATCATTTTTGTATATTAATGAACAATTAATATTTGTTCTTTTTATTACTTTAACTTTTTGGCCGTAGCAATTGCAGGAAATGCTGCTTAAAGTTGACGTTTCTCTAGTGTTTTCTATTGTAATTTATTTTATTTTTTCTCAGTAGTATTTTTTTTTTCAGCAGGAAACATTGCATGCTTTCAAGTGTATCAAGTTTTACTCACCCTCATGTCGTTCCAAACCTGTATGACTGGCTTTCTTCTGTGGAGCATAAAAGATCATATTTTGATAAATGTCTGGTTTTTTGGTACATATAATTAATGTCAATGGACTCCAGTGTTCTTGAAAATATATGTATTTTTAGTGTTTCTGCAGTCATATAGTAAGTCATATAGGTTTGGACCAACATAAGGGTGAGTAAATGATGACAACTTAAATTAAATCCCTATAAAAAGATAAGACAATTACAATTAAACCACTTGTTACATGTTGTCTCTGTAACATTGTCTCTTATAGCTCTATTTGTTTGAGCGTCCCGACACAGCATGATATAGTAACACTGGCTCGACCAATAGTGTGAGTTTGGGGTGTGACTATCTGTTTGTCCAACCACCCAGTACTTTTACCAGGTCATTTTATATGCTGGCCTCTTGTCATACCGCATTTTCTAACAATGGCTCATGAGCTGCATACTTTGAGTATTTAAAACTTATGTAATGTTCAAGTGTGATTTTATGCTGCTGTGTTGTGATCAGTCAAAATGTTAATGGTTTGTTTCTTTGCAGTTGCAGAGCAATGAGGATGAAGCTCTTCCTGGTCCTGGTGGCACGTCTCAAGCTGGCAGCGGTGAGTGTGGGCTGACTGCGGTTATCAGTTACGTTACCAGGAAACTGAATTTGTATACATGTCAAAGGCTATATGCAATTTTCTTAGCAACTTCTTAAGACTTCTTAGCAATAGGTTTTGCACTTAGTTTTACTATGGTATTGTTTACAACATCTGTGAGATTTGGATTGCTGGGAATGTCAGACTCATTCCTCTTGAGAATGCAATGACTGTGTGATCAAATCCGGTTGTCATTCCCAAAAGAAAAACACACTTTTTCTAAGAACACAGGGGAAGACGTGTCTTATTTAAACACTCAACATAACTGTGATGTGTTTTATCATGCTGCCTTATGGCCCAGCCCTAAGAGCTGAAGGGGACTTTAGTATGTGTTTTAGATAAAGTATGGATCAAGCCTGCCCTCATGTGGTAGAAATCAGTAGATGTTCACTATTCAAATATGTAGAAGAATGTTCCAGCTCTTTATCAACTGCATTTGTGTCATTATGTAGATTACAACATAAAATAGTTGTCATAATTATGTTCCATGCAAAGGTATGTCACCAAAGCTTTACTTGAAACATTTCTTTAGGTAAGTTACAGAATTACATTGAAACAGTGATAGGAAAACAGAAAAATAGGTGACAGTAATTTATAATATTCACCACACTCAACCTAAATGATGAGATCTAAGCCTTAAAACTCATGAGCATGAATTATAATAACTGGCTTGAATTTTGAGAAATCGCACTCAGTTTTGGTGCTCACGTTGTGTCTCCCTACAGAGAGGTTTTTGAGGACTGCCAGCCAGCAGTCTGACAGCAGCGGGTTTGCAGAGGACCCATCCACAGACGGTTCGGGTAATCACCTGAAGGTACGTGAGTGTGGGCAGAACCATCTGGACTCTCTACAGCCTATGAATACAAAGATTGTCATCCTCCTTTTGAACCCACAGAAGAAAAAAAAAAACATTTTTGGAATTTAGCTTGCACTGATATCAAATAGTATGAAAACGTAAAATAACTTTATATTTTTATATATGTTTTACAATATGAAAATTGTCATTTTTATTTTAAAATTTGTTTTTTTTATGTAATAATTACTTATTATTATTATTTATATAACTATTTTGTAAAATAAAAATTATATGAATAATAATCAAATAAATTAGCAGTGCCTCCATTTAATGTAATCAAGTGTGGTTTTCTGAATATTGGTTTAACTACATTTTGTTAAAAATGGATGTTCCCAACCTCATTAATATTGTCTAGTTATTTATGAACATGCATTCGGGGCTACTGGTAATACAAAAAATGAGAGTCAGAATATTGACTTCTATAAGTTCTATATGAATATTTCATAGGAATATGAATATACAGTAAGTAGTGGAATTTGTCATGGCCAAATCCAGCATTTGGTATCTCTGAAAAGCCCTCTGAATCGAAAATTTCGAAATTATGAATTAAGGTGCACTAGAACTTAAAATTGTGGCATATGTGTTCTTAGGGGAATTTACAAAACATAAATGAGGACAAGAATAAATTGCTGGGTTCTAAGTGGTAAAATACAAAGTGTCTATTAAAAGTGACTTTCAACATCAATGTTTCTAAGAACCAGTCCTTCAATAGATAATGGAAGTGAAACTTCGCTCTTGAACTTTTATTAGGTACAAGAAAGCTCAGATAGCTGTGACAGCGAAACCACAGTGACATCGCATGCAGGAGAAGTCAGCACACCCATAGCATTGGAGTACCCCAACTTTGAGAGATTGCAGGCTGAGGAAGCCCATCCTCAGTCCAACAGAGGCACATTTAGCCAGAGTGGAACAAACCGAGAACTCCCTGAGATCACCAGCCTCCAGAGTCCCAATCCAAACTCTGACCATATTAGCCCCAATGGACCGCTCCTTTCTCCTGATTATGATAGGGCTTCCATAGTTGAGTCCAATTTCACTACAGCGCAAGAACCCACCACAGACTCTCCAGAAGTGGATTCGAGTACAATGGTAGATCCTGCAACAGATTCCAACTTGGATGTAGCTCATGAAGGCAACATATGCCAGCCTGGTTTAGGCATTGATCTAGACTTCTCTGAGGATTTACGCCCATCCTCTGGGCCAGAGTCTTCAGATCTTCCAGAGACTTTGGACCTTGAGCAATGCCACGCTACGACTCAAAGACAAATGGACCTCCAAACAGCCCATCAGAGGTCATCCTCTATGGATGAGGAGCGTCCTGCCAGAGTATGGGTGAGGGACAGGAACTTGCTGAGGGAAAGCTTGGAAAGGAATCCTTTAAGGAGATCCAGCTCCCTCCCAACCTCTCCGCTCAGCCCAGCTCGAGTGGTCACCTCCATGCGAATCCAACTTGGAAAGGGTTCGGTCAAGCACTGTACCCCACCCTCATACTCGTACCGCTACGATGAGGAGAATCTCAGTGTCCGAGAAGAAGTGGATTCAATTATGGAAAAAGATGAAGTAGATCATGGCCAGTCTGAGCTCTTGAAATCTGCTCCAGCAGGTGGATCAAAGACGGACAGGGGAACGCCACCACATCTTCTCAATGTACCCCAGCATCTGACTCGCTCTTCCAGCTCGCTTTATAGTGTCCCTGCAGACTGGCCCCAGAGGCCCTTGGGTGAAGGTCCAAACTGGAGCACATGTAGTGTCCCAAACCTTAGTCAATTTACAGGTCTGGCCCACCCTCCTCCTCCTCCTCCTCCTCCTCCTCCTCCTCATGGGTCCTTCTACTCTCCCCAACACGGAGTGGCCTACAACTCCTCGTACCCTACCGGAGTTCCCCACCACACTCCTTTCCCACAACCGCAGAGTTCACCTTATCCTCAACCACTTAAGAGCAATACATTTACTCCACCACAGGGGGCGCCATTTACACTCCAGCACAATATGCATTATGCTCATCCTCACAGTTTGCCTTACAGCCCATTCTATTCACCTTATAATGTTGCTCAGGGAGCTCCCTGCGGCCCCTCATTGAACATGCATGGCAGCCCGTACCAACCTCACGTTCCTCTCACACAATCCCACAGTGCCCCCTATAGACTGGGCTACAACGGTTCTCCTCATCACCCTGGTGCCCCCTACAGTTATCCATACTATCCATCTCCCCCCTACCCTTGCTCTTTTGAGACGCCTCCTGCACCTGTCCCTGTGATGGGCAGCACAGAGATGCAGCTCAGGAGGGTCCTGCATGACATTCGTGGGACAATGCAGAACCTTGGTCAGGTAAAAACTGCCAAAATTCTTTTCATACTTGTTTATTACATGACCTGATGGGATTTTATGACTCTCCAAACAATCTTAACCTGTGGTAAACGTGATTATTAATGAGGCTGTGCCTGACATGCTCTTATTAGTAATTGTTTGTGTTTAAAGCAGGGTGGAATGGCAGTATACAGTATTTGCCGGTACAAATAGGTTAGCTGGTGAAGTTTTTGCTAACACAGAAGATATATTTGGATGGGCTGAACTGTTTTATGTTATTTTACACATAACCGTGATTAGGAAACATAGAGTAATGTGTAATAGCAGAGTGGGATGTGTCCCAAAGTCGAGATGAGACTTCTTAAGGAATGTTGCTAGGCACATGCAGCTAGTGAAATGGAATTTAGTTGTTTATGATTACTAAGCAGTGTTGCAACTAGTATTCATTTTAATATTATTAAAATTAATACTAGTTTCAGCACTGCTTGGTAATTGTGATAATCAAAGGGTTTCTTTTTCTTTTGATTTTACTCGCGATCTTTACAACACGCATCACATTACGTATTTCATGGCACACTCGTTTTATGCGTATTTGGCGCCACCTAGTGTTGTGGGTGTATTATTGACATGTCAAAGTCTAGACCCTGAATATAAGACGACCGCGTTTTTTCAGATGTATTTCCAAGAAAAAAACATCGTCTTATATTCGGGTCAATACGGTATTATTAAAGCTGTTATAATTGCATGAATACAATTACTTTTATTCTTATATATTATTTATAAATAAATAATTTCAAAATAAAAACAGAAAATCATCAAATGAATTTTGTATTTAAGTATTTCACTCTGTTGAAAACTGTTGTGCTGCTTAATGTTTGTGGAAATACATTTTTATTCGTTGATAAATAGAAAAGAACAGCATACTGGATATTTTAAATGGAAATTCGAAATAATTTGTATAAATGTCATAAACTGTCACTTTTGATCAATTTCATTCATCCTTGCTGAATAAAAGTATTAATAAAAAAAATCTGCCATATATATATACACACTTATACATACGATATACATATACATGTACATGTACACACACACGCATATATATGTGTGTGTGTGTGTGTGTTTGGTGTATATGTATGTAGCCTCTGACCTGTAATAACTGTTTTGTTTTGCACAGAGTCAGTAATATATCTGCATAAAGTATAAAAAGGAAGTGTGTTCCGGTTTCTTGCGAATCCCACCTGAAATGCATATAATCAGCCGAGTCAGCATGCTGCATTATCCTGGGCTCAGTTTAGACATGCTTTTCCTGTGTGACTCATAAGTCATAACCGATCTGTGGTTTTGTTGGCAGAGCTCATCCGTGCATGGAGGGGACACACCCATTGACAGGATCAGCACACCGTGCTCTGTCCAACCGCTTTATGAGGTACATCATTTCCCAAAGATGAAGCAGTCACATGTTATTTTCATAACCCTGAGTTGCATCACGTGAAGTCTCTTATGAAACTGAGATGCTCATATAGCTTGTGCAAGAGTTTTTGGGAAGTCTTTATCCCTATTATTTTTGTCCCTACTGACTTGCTGTTTGCTGCAGGAGCTCCAGATGCGACGCAGGAGTCTGAATGTCTTCCGGACTCAGATGATGGATCTGGAGCTGGCTCTCATGAGACAGCAGTCTATGGTCTACCAGCATCTCAGTCCAGATGAGAGGTGAGGAACTCATAGTTCCCCAAATCACAAGCCACAGAGGGAAAAATTTCACCCACTGGCTCATTTTGACCAAATCTCAGACACTTTTGAGATTTTCTGGTGTAGAAAGACAAAAAACAGCTTTGTAGCATGTATGGGTTTTTTTAAAAACTGGGGTCCGAGGACCACCAGGGGGCTACAGGGGGTCTGCAAAAAAATAAAAAAAGATATAGTTCCACGACATTCTAATTTATTGAGATGCACCTGTATATGTATTTTTTTTTCATTCACGCAATTTTATAATAGACTGGTCCCATAAAAAGAACTAACCATACAGTATGTATGCAGCAGGCTACAGTAAGTGTGGTGGTAAGTATGGTTATGGTACATGTTTGCACCACAGTTCCTGTCATACTAAACGCCTGTACAATTTGACAGAGAAAAGGCGAATATAGCCATAAATTAATTGTTAATATGGCTGTGCAGTATGACATAGAGAAAAAGCGGATTTAGCAATAAATAAGTCTTCAAACAAATGACCCTAAAATGTGTGAACAAATCATAAATGCACTGTAAAAAATGAAATGTAGTTTTCCCTTTACTTTAACTCGTCAAATTAATTAAGTAGATTTTTTAAAGTCAGTTTAATATAATTTAAGTTAAAATGACAGCCAGTTTGATTGTACTTAAGAAATTTAAGGCAGTTGAAGGTGGTTGGAAATTTTACAGTGTACTAATGATTTTTCACTATTGAAAAATAAATGACTATCAGATTGGTACTGGATGATCACAGTGTTAAAATATTGGTTTTCTGTATCAACCTTAAATTTATGTGATCGCTGCCTCCTCAAATACTGACTTGTGAAGTATTTACTGACTGTTTGCCAGACTGTGAAAAAAAAAAAAAAACTATGTGAAACTTAAACCCTTACATCTTATATTGGGGTTTGTGATGTTGCAGGCGGGAGGCGGAACAACTTGAAGCACTGCGGACGGCAGTCAGGCAGGAGCTGCAGGAGTTGGAGCTGCAGTTGGAAGATCATCTGCTCTCCCTGAATGAACAGATGCGCAGCAGCTCACAGCACAGCAGCCTCTACCGCCACCACATGGTCAGTGAATGCAGCAACAACTGCCACATAAGAAATTATCAATTATGCTGTTATAGCATTTACCTAATAGGCTACCTACAATATATTTCTGTTAGAAAGTAATGAACAAAACTGTCATTTTTATTATACCCTCTCAGGATTGGAAGTACAGACTAGTCTTAATGTAAATTCCAATGGGAATTTCACTGAACCTGATATATTTGGAATAACCATAAATAGACGTTACATTGTAATTATATAATACATAAAACATTGTTGAGTTAAATTTACAGCAAAAATAACTATCACTGTTACATACCGTCAGTGTGATATACAATTTTGGTCACACCGCTCACCCCTAGTGCAGACTGAAATGTGAAAACTAGTCAAGTGAAAAGTTATGTACCATTTAAAAGTTTGGGGTCAGGAAGATTTTTTGTTTATTTTTTTTTTTTTATTAAATTATTACTTTTTCTGAGCAAGGATGCATTAAAATTAATTAAAAATAAAGATAATTGTGAAGTCACAAAGAATTTTTCTATTAATAAAAGAATCCTGATAACCTAATGTACCATGGTTTTCACAAAAATATATTAAGCTGCACATCAATATTTTTCTAGTTTCTTGACCAGAAATATTTCTTGAGCAGCAAATCAGCATATTAGAATGATTTCTAGAGGATCGTGTGACACTGAAGACTGGAGTAATTATGCTGAAAATTCAGCTTTGCATCACAGGAATAAATTGTATTCTAAAATATATTAGAATAGAAAACAATTATTTTAAATTGTAATAATATTTCACAAAATTACTATTAATATTACAATTTGATCCAGTAATGCAGCCTTGGTGAGCATAAGAGACTTCTTTCAGAAACATTTTACAGACCTCAAACTTTTGAACGGTAGTGTATGTTGATGTTTTTTAACCTTTAGTAAGAGATACGTGTCTCGCAGGGCATGCACAGAGGTCACAGCATGGAAAGCCTGTCTAATTCTTCAGCACTGCAGGCCATGGAGCCGGTGAGTGGATTATTATCATGTTACATGGTCCTGTATCAGATATCATCTGCATGCCTTGTTCTACTCTCAGTTTCCTCTCATCCTTTATAAATTCTTGTATGTGAATATACAGGTGACGGACCTCCTGAAGGAGCAATTGTACCTTCAGTCTGAACTGGGATATGAGGCTGCCACACTCAGTTCAGGCCGCTCGTCGAGGGCGTCCAGCCCTGGAAGATTCAACCGAACGCTTGAGTCTTGCTCTCATTCCCCGCAGAGAGGCAGCGTTTACCGGGCAACCCTCAACCTCACACCCACCGTCCCTGCAAGGCCTGGAATGGAGGTTCCTCTGCCTATTTCTCCAGAGAGGATGGAGCATAACATGACACCTGCTTCCTTGGAGTTGAGCAGAGATGAGGACGAGATGTCACTGGATGGACACAGGAGCAGGACGATGGAGGACTGCAGTCCCACCGAATGGAGGAGTACAAGTGGAGGGAATGGTGACCTGCAACATCTTATACAGGAGGTGACAGAACTCAGATGAGAGGACTAATATACAGCAATGCCAACGGCCAATATTGAGAAATATCTGAATTGTCTTATTTTCACCAGTTTTTTTTTTTAAGATAAGACTATTTATCTCAAAATTCTGACTTTTTCTGCAATTCTGAGTGTATATCTCACATTTCTGAGGGGAAAAAAATAGAATTGTGAGATATAGGGGAGAGCAGGGCACAAAGTAACACTTTTTGACTTTCTCAAATTGTGTAAATCCACATGGGGTTCAGAGTATAATTTTTTTTATCCACAGTAATTTCACACTTGTCTAGTACAAATTCTTAACCATAAAAGCTTAAATGTCATAGAATAGCACAGCAGGGCACATTGTAACGCAGTGTTACAACATACCCCATCTGTGCAACTGGAATTTAAAACTGGTTACTGTCTTTAATGTTCAGCGATATCTTCAAAAGACTTTTGAATTTTGGCGCACTTTTTTTCTCTATATAATGTTGATATAGTAACTAGTAAATGCTGTAAATTTGGTTATGCTAGCATGTGTGGAAATATTTAAACCACGTGTGTTACAACTTACCCCGCGTTACTTTGTGCCCCGCGCTCCCCTAAACTCGCAATTCTGTGAAGAAAAATCAGAATTGTGAGATATAAAGTCACAATTTTGTGAAGAAAAGTCTGATTTTTTTTCCCCCTTGGCAGAAATAAGCTTCTGAAATTCTGTTCGATTCTGCCAAAGAATCTAGAAATTGCGCTGTCAAACCTGAAGACACAAAAGCAGCATGTGTTTCCTTCTCCATCTCAAAAGAAAGCGGAAAAAAGCCTATTTAACTGTGTCTTTGGCACCGTTTGAGTGAGCTCTTTGTAGCCATAATGGTTTTTGGTGGTGTGTGTGATGATTGACAGATTTGCTCATGAAATATCATGCATCAGTTTATGCTAATTTACTAGACTGTCATGATGGTCCAGCAATTCTGATGCTTATGAGGGAAACTTGGACTGAATTGGATCCTTGTAGTCACCTAGGTAATTTCATGGCTTGTGGAGTGATGTAACAGCCTAAGACAAGACCTGATGTTCTTCACCAGCGTATCAATATGTATTTGACCCTGCACAGCACTGCCAGTTCTTTGGATTTCATATATGGAGAACTGTTGAAATCGTTTAACATAGTTGACCTTGTTGCTGTATGGCAGGTTTATAGATATATATTCTCAAACCGTTTTGGGCAGTAAATAAAAGTTGTAACGTAATAATAATAATACGTTTTATTTATATAGCGCCTTTCAAACACCCAAGGACACTTTACACAAGGTAAATAACAGATAGTATGCAACATATAAACAGCCAAACAGCAGACAGAGGTGAAATAATATGCAATATACAAGATACGTTACAAAAGCATAGAACAGAAAATTAAGGCAAGCAATTAATTAAGAAACATTGTAAATAGGTGTTTTAATAGCAGTTTTAACTTAACTTTTTTTCAGCAGTATGATAGTAGTTCAGCTGTTTTGAGAATAAAAAGTTTAGCTTTTCTAGTAAACAAATTTATTTCTTGCGAAACTGAAAATAAACTAGCTTGCGTACCACTTTCATTCAGCACAAATATGCTTGACGAAGTCGCTTTGGAATATATTTTTCAGGTGATAAATACATGACTTATATTCCAGAAAGTACTTTTGAATGGTAGTTTGCCAAACGTTCATGTAAATAAACAGATTAAGATCAGTTATTCACCGATTCGAGTCCCTGTGCAGCATTTTAGGTCTCTCTATATTTTTAGTTTTTGACTTTCCTACCTTTAATGCAGTCTAACATCATTTCTTATTCATCCTCCTGCAGATTAAAGAAAGTATCGCACATGAAATCAGGCAGGAGATTGTGAACGAGCTTCTGGCTGCTGTGTCGCCACGTAGATCTCCTCTCCCAGCCAGGAAGCCCCCTGTGTGAGCATCATAACAGAGGATGGAGGTTGGTTTTGATGGATCACATTATGCTCAATCAATACAGACCTGTTGATCTGTTGAATGTTTACGTTAACGTCTTGAAAAAAGTTTCTTATTTATTTGATTAAAAACATAGTAAAAACAGTAATATTGTGACATATTATGCGGTTTAAAAAAATGTTTTCTATTTTAAAATATAATTTATTCCTGTGTTGGCACAGCATCATTACTCCAGTCTTCAGTGTCACATGATCCTTCAGAAATCATTCCAATATGCTGATTTGGTGCTAAAGTAATATTTCCTGTTATTATCAATGTTGGAAACCATGATAGATTTATTTATTTGAAATAGAAATCTTTACTGTCACTTGATCAAAATTCAGCATTTTACCCACTATTTGTGTGGGCTGTGTAATTTTACACTCAGAGTACATGCTTTAGAAGGCAGTAGGCAGGCAACTCACTAGGTTTTGGAACAATATTCTCAATCAATATCTCTGTTTTGCTTCCTTCAGCAGGTGAAGAAGTAAATCTTGTGAAATAGTCACAACGAACACTGGTTAAAGCTTTGCACTGAGAACGGCTCAGCACCTCTCTCTGGTTCGGTCCGTGTAGCCCTTCCAGACTCGACTTCTTCTGGACTAGAGCTACAGGGAATATGCTCATGCATTTGAGTCCAGATTCCACTTTTGCAGTGGTTGAGATCTTCCACTGTCCGAATCCGCAAAGGGCACGAGGCTTATTGTGTTATCCGTCTGGTACATATATTACAGAAATGTAATAAATCTTTTGGGATGTGTTTTAATATGTGATGCAGGTCTCGTTGGATGTTTGCAGAGGATGAAAGGGCTGTGGGTAGCTAAAGTTTTCTGTGTGAGTGTGTCTTTGTCTGTCTAGGACAAAAATGTCTACTGAAATCAGACTTGTTTTCTAATCCAACCTCTGTGAGGAACTAACTGTGCAATACATTTAACTTTTTTCTCTCAAACTTGAACTGATCAATCACAACTACTGTTCTACTCAAAATGCACACCGCTGTCTTCATTTCCTGTTGATAGTCTATCACATGCTGTATGTATAGACACTTAAGACACTTCAAAGCACATTTTTAAATACAGGTGCATCTCAATAAATTAGAATGTCGTGGAAAAGTTAATTTATTACAGTAATTCAACTCAATGTTTTTTTATTCATCTTATGCAGTATTCTAATGTGTTGAGATAGTGAGTTGGTGGGTTTTTGTTAAATGTGAGCCAAAATCATCACAATTAAAAGAACCAAAGACTTAAACTACTTCAGTCTGTGTGCATAGAATTGATTTAATACACAAGTTTCACAATTTGAGTTGAATTACTGAAATAACTGAACTTTTCCACGACATTCTAATTTATTGAGATGCACCTGTATATTGTCCTGTGAGAAGAAAAAGCACTAAACTCTCTTTATATATACACACACATTAGCAAGCCCATGAAATATATATATTTTTTTTATTTTCCTTCAAACAGCAGTGGATAGTCTGTCAAATCTTCAGATGAGGATTTAAAGTGTTCGACTTAATTTTCCTCAGTGTGAATGAGTTTTTTTTTTTATTTTTTTATCTAAGCTGTAATGAATTGTAATACTAATTGATTTATGCGACAAAGGGGACATGTTCCCTTTCCGCTTGGGATGCATGAGGGATAATCTTTAATGGAAATCATTAATAAAGATTTATTTATTTTGTACATATACTTGCCGAGTCATAATTTTGGTTGTGTTCCTGGAGATGGTGGATGGTGTTTGTATTATGGTTTACAATCTTTATACTCTACAAAAATACTGAATATTCCAGGTTACTGCAGAATTAAAGGAATAGTTCACCCAAAAATGGAAATTTCCTAAAAATGTTCTTGCCCTCAGGCCATCCAAGATGTAAATGACTTTGTTTCTTCATTGAAAAAAATGTGGAGAAATTTAGCATTACATCACTTGCTCACCAATGGATCCTCTGCAGTGAATGGGTGCCGTCCGAATGAGAGTCTAAACAGCTGATAAAAAAACAATAATCCACACCACTCCAGTCCATCAATTAATGTCTTGTGAAGTAAAAAGCTGCATGTTTGTAAGAAACAAATCCATCCATAATTTAATATAATATGAAAAAAATGAAGCAGATATTGCTCATGAATTCCCTTTTTGAGATCAATTATTTATTAGGTTTATAATATAATATAATCTAAAAACAAACTGAAGCATTTAAACTGATAGAACAGAACAGAATAGAAAAAAACTAAAGCATTTAAACAGATCTGTAAGCTTTTGGCGCACATCATTCTCTTTTCTGTAAACCGAAATCACCGGTTCTAACTCTATAGCGAAACCAACTCTATAGCGATTTGCCCGAGCATTGCATTTATTTCGCATTTACTAGAATTCAATCAAATGGCTTTCCCAACTCATTTTTTTGCGTATGCGCGCAGCTTAAGAGGGAACATTGTCTGTATGATTTAGACACTTTTACAGCTCTAATAACACTCAAGTTTGAAAAGAAGAGTTCATATAAGTGCTTCAATAAAAGTATGAACTGCATTTGTGCTCTGAAACCCTCTGGTATGCCTCACCCCATAAACTTCTGAAGGGTGGATTTACAATGCCTGCTTTTTATTATTATTATTATTATTATTGTGCTTTCCTTTTTGGTTTTATTAACGAGTTTGAAATGAAATTTACTAATGATTTTTTTTTATTATTATTGTGCCATCAATAGTTAATTAGCCTTCCTAATCAAGTGCATTTATTCACAGCATGTTTTAATCTTTTATTAGTTTAACAAGCAGTGTGTGTATTTGGGATCTGAGAGGTGACTGAAGATTTTGTCCAGTCCAGGGATCCATTTACAGTGTTTGATCAGGTAACTTCCAGAAAGGAAACATGCACTTGTGTTGAACTTCATTCATTGATTTTTTTTATTTTATTTTATTATTTTTAGAGATACATAGTTTTTATATAGGTTCTTGTTTAATTATGTTCTTATTCTGATCTTGGGTACAATAATGTTGATCCAAGAAAGTAATCTGGCAATAAAACATCCCATAAAGCACACAACTATTCAAACGCTTGGGATTGGTTAGATTTGTAAGAAATGTTTTTTGAAAGAAGTCTCTAATGCTCACCAAGGCTGCAAAAATGCAGTAAAAACGGTAATATTGTGAAAAAACACAATTGAAAATAATTATTTGTTTTCTATTTTAATGGATTTTAAATTGTAATTAATTCCTGTGATGGCAAAACTGAATTTCCAGCAGTCATTAGGCTACTCCAGTCTTCAGTGTCACATGATCCTTTAGAAATCATTCTAATATGCTGATTTGGTGCTCAAACATTTCTTATTATTATCAATGTTGAAAACAGTTGTGCTGCTTAATATTTTTGTGGAAGCTGTGATACATTTTTTCAGGATTCTATGATGAACAGAACGTTCAAAAGAACAGCATTTGTTTGAAATAGAATTTTGTAACTTTATAAATGTCTTTCACCTTTGATCAATGTATCCTTGCTGAATAAAAATATCAATTTCTTAAAAAACAAATCATATTGCATGCCTACAAACATTTAGTAGTAGTGTGTGTTCCATGTTTGGAACCTCTAAAAGATTCAATTGCATTAATATGTATAGAACCTTTTTGATGGAACCTTTAAAAGGCTTCTACAAAAACATTTTAAGGGTTCCAAATAATAAGCACCCACTAGAACCGTGCTGTATTTCAATCATGCTTGATCTGAACCAGGCTACATTTTTTCCAGTAACTGCTCTTTCAGGCCTGATCGTGCTTGTCCTTTGCGCTTAACATTTTTAATGCGGGCAACAATGTTAATGGCAGACTCCTACTGCTGTGTTTAGCCAAGTATGACGATGAAAATACCTGTGGGTCAGAAATTATTTTGATAACTCAATCTGGCCCACTGTTACCATGGTAACACGTCTCTGAGATAGAAGGTTGGCGGGAGAGTGATTTTGATATTGTGGGCATGCTTGAATGGATTCAGAGGTCGGCCATTAAAATAAAAAGGCTACATTAGACCTGGGGGATACTGATATATAACAGAAATGGCTTGAATAACTTGACGATCGAGTGGGATTTTCATTTTCAACTGTTAGAACAGCTCAGCTGTGTCCAGTACAGCAGCATAAAGGCGTTTTGTGTTCGTCTACAGAGGAGACAGACTGAGTAGTCAGGGAAAATTAACTTTATTACAGGCACTATTGGATTTCACTTGCCGTCACGTCTAAGAGAGGGTGCTGGATATGTTTCCTGACCACTCAATCCCACTTTTCTTCATCTCTCGGCCTCTTGCTTCAGGCAAACACCCATGAACACAAGGAAATGGTTGTACTTTTGTCCTTGTGTGTTCTTGAACATCAAACCTCAATGCATAATAATTTTGACAGCTTGTGTGACACAAACCTCTGCTGTTTAGATTAATTGCGCTTGCAGTGAAATAAAACCATATCTGTTGAATCTTGCGCAACAGAGCGTGGGTAATAAACAGTGCCTGTTTTGTGCCTCCTCCACCCTGTGCCATTCATTAAGCTCCAGTAGTTTCCTCCCTGGTATTACCTGCTCCTGATGATGAGTTTCATTAGGTCAAGCTTTAACCTGTAAATGGGCGGTGGCAGTGAAGACAGGGTGTAAACATGCGTCAGGTCGGGTGGTTTGGTACTGTTTGTTCCAGAGGTGAACAGGGTGACCTGATTTCTTCATTTGTTTCTTGAGGATTCTTACACTCCCTCGTTTTTCCCAGACTAACCTCAGGTTACACCAGCTGACTCCTGACTATAATATACTATTTGTTGAATCTAGTTAACAAGCGGAAAAAATAGAAAACACCTTGTTTCGGAACAATTTGTTTTTATGGAAGAGTAGAGTGCCAGTAAAGAATCAAGGAATAAATTAGCAATTTAAAAAAAGTAATCTATAAAAACAAACCAATTGTCAAATGGACAAATCAAAAAAAAAAAAAGGTGGGAATTACTGTAAGCACAGATATCGGATACCAGTCGTGTCTAAAGTGAATGTAAACAGATGTGTCAAAAGATCGTATCTGTGCATTAAGACTTGCAGTGTAAACGCAGCCTAAGTATCTTACAATATAAATTTACCAAAAAAAAATAAGGCAGCATGGTAGGCATGCTTCACTCTTAAGCCAATCCCAGAATGCACTGCTGTAGGTTTGCTCATTTTATTTTACATGGACTAATAAAAAAAGTAGCCTTATAAAAAAAAAAAAAAAAAAAAAACATTATTCATTATTTTTATGTATAATTTTTTTTTAATATAAATAACTTCCCAGAAATAAATATCAATAACATTCCCATCACTTTTGACCAATTTAATGCAGTATTTTATTTATTTATTATTTTATTTTATTTAAAAAAGGTTTTTATTAAAAATAATAAAGTGATATTTATTTTTAAAAGCAACTTTTACATTTTTTTTTTTTTTTTTTTAAAAGAAAGAATTTGCAGTTCAGTTTTAGCTGCACAATGGAGCCTACCATTACAATATGTTTAAGAAAATTTAACCAACTGTTTTTATCATTTATTATGACTATTAGTTATAGTTTTGCAGAAATATCTCAATTTCCCCCTTCAGGTTGTGTTTTAGACAGGTTGCAGACTAATGACCTATTTCAAAGCAGGCAGGTGGATCAATAGCAGTTATCTCATTGGCAGATGTCCAGTGACCCGAACAAACAGCATACAGTAGGTAGCGTCTGTTCTGGGTTACGGTTAGGATCAATACATGGTCTTTGAACTATTACACCTAATATTACACCACAGTTTACTTTCATTATCCACAAAACAATGCAATTGGGTATTTTAAAATGATGATTTTCATGCCTGGAAAGTGAATGTAATATGCTAATATGCATTCTAATTATGCTTAACTTTAAAATGTGAATATATAAAACTACATTTTAACATTTTGTAAGTGGCACAAAGGGAGTTGTGGTTGGTTGCTAAGGCATTGCTATGTGGTTGCTAAGGCATTCTGACATTCGATTGCTAGAATGCGGCTATGCAGTTGCTAGGTCGTTACTTAAAAAAGCGATATTCTGTGTGATTTTTTATTATTTTTATTCATTTATTTTTTATTAATTTATTTATTTATGCCTGCTATATCATCTGCCATGCAAAAATTGTAAGTCTACAAACGCAACAGCACACATCTGTCTCAATATACCATATCATTTGAGGTGTCATTAAATGGTACAGAAGAAGATGTCTATTGAAGTTTAATGTACCTTTTACGTAGATATCAAATATTTTTTATATTTTTATATTTTTTATATTTTATCATATATTATATATCTCATAAATATATAAAATATATAAGTATTATATATATAGTTATATTAGCTTTGTTCATATACCAAACCTAATAGCAATAGTAATAGTGATGCTAGCCTTAGAAAGTACAGCTAAATATAAAATATACATCAGCTAGAAATTGCTCTTTGTGAGTGCAATCTTTATTTTAATACATTTTAAAGGTCCCTGTGCCAGTCACAGATGCCTGGAAATGTCATGGAATCCATTTAATCTAAAGTATAGGAATCTTCATTTAATATTTTACATATTACTACACAAAAACATCCCTCACTTTTGTCTTAAACCCTTGATTCGTATTACATCCGCTCTGGCTAAAAATAAAACGGCTGCTTTAGCAGGACAGTAAATCATTCCCATCTCCCAAGAATCCCTGAATAATTAAAAATCTATAAATTAAGTGCCAGTGTGATCGAGCTTGTTATACATTCTAAAGAACATTCTCTTGTCTCACAGTTTACCCGTGTCCATGAAGAGAAATCCGGCCATGTGATGCGAAAACTGCCGACAGCATCCTGAATCAGGATCATAAATAATGTAGGAGCATCAGCAGGTCCCGGTGGGGGCTTATATTGCATTGCTAATGATAGTGAGAGAAAGAGAGAGAGAGAGCGAGAGAGAGAGCAAAGCAGAGAGAGATCTGAGCGTGTCCCGGAGCAGTCGGAAAACTCGCACTGAGAAGACCTGCAGCCATCTCTGCTTCTGTGAGGTTTATGGGACACGGGACCACAGCAAAGGGAGTGGGACAACACGGATGTGGGAAGGACAGACTGACTATTTGTTCTGCTGTTTGTCTGTGTGGCTCATTCTCTCTCTCTCTCTTTCTGTCTCTCCGTGGAGTAAAGGAAGGCGGGCCATACAGGAGGGAGAGGAAATCACAGGGGCTGATAAGTAGGGTCCACTTTGTCTCCATCTCTCTCTCCATCAGCTCTCTCGTTCAGCATGGAGCCCAACAGCCCTAAGAAAATTCAGTTTGCCGTTCCACTCTTCCAGAGCCAGTTGGATCCCCAGGCGGCCGAGCATGTAAGTAGAGAGAAGCTCTTTTATTGCATTGTGCCTAATGGAGACTGGCCTGCATTGCTCTTCGGCTCCCTTGAGGCTGTCTTGAAGCATCAGATCTGTGCAGATTGCTGCCAAACTCAGTTTTATGATATGATGTCATGCATAGTGGGATTGTAGTGCTTGGAAAATGTGTAATTTTTTAATGCACACCACCGTAATGGCTTGAACAAACAGTGTTTTGCATGCACTTAAGTGCGAGGAGGGAATGAAACATTTGCTGTTTGCTTTCAAAATTCTGTATTACATGCCAAATTAGTTTTTGTCGACTATTTTGATAGGGTTATTTCAAAGAGTGCGAACTGGTGATAAAGGGTGACCGTGCATCGCAAAAAAAATTTTTTTGTTCTTTGTAAAAATTGTCGTTTGTGCAGCAGAATATATTCTTATTGTGTTCCTGCTAGGGCTGCACAATTAATCGAATTTCTAATCTCGATTACAATTATTGATGCCACAATTACGTAATCGTTCAAAGTCCACTTATTCTGCGTTTTTTCTTTCTACATGTTATCTTAAGGGTATTGTAGTGCTTGGAAAATGTGTAATTTTTTAATGCACACCACCGTAATGGCTTGAACAAACAGTGTTTTGCATGCACTTAAGTGCGAGGAGGGAATGAAACATTTGCTGTTTGCTTTCAAAATTCTGTATTACATGCCAAATTAGTTTTTGTCGACTATTTTGATAGGGTTATTTCAAAGAGTGCGAACTGGTGATAAAGGGTGACCGTGCATCGCAAAAAAAATTTTTTTGTTCTTTGTAAAAATTGTCTTTTGTGCAGCAGAATATATTCTTATTGTGTTCCTGCTAGGGCTGCACAATTAAATCGAATTTCTAATCTCGATTACAATTATTGATGCCACAATTACGTAATCGTTCAAAGTCCACTTATTCTGCGTTTTTTCTTTCTACATGTTATCTTAAGGGTTTTCCATTGTTTTAGTAATAAAACAATCATTAATAATCGCAATTATTACAATTTCAAGGGAATAATTGACAATTGTGATTTTTTTTGTCATAATCGTGCAGCCCTTGTTCCTGCTATTGTAGAGCTGTTCATTGATGGACCCGGATACAGCAGTGAGGCTTCATGCCCGGTAGTAAAAGTGTTTGATGTTGGTACTGTTGCTGACAATGTCATAACAGGAAAGTGTTAGGCTGATTTTATGATGATGCCGGCTTGTCCAATCAGTGGCAGTCTGTCTTTTGCTGAGTAAGTTCTCCATCAGTGTTCGCTCTTGTTTCTTGGAGCCTTTTTTTTCAATAATAAATAAATAAAATAACCTGGACTGATGCAGGTTCAGGGCTCAGTGATTTTATGTGCTGGCACAATCAGGCAAGTAGTTCAGATTTTTACCGACCTTGCAGCTGAAGGAGCGATTGTAATATACCACTGAGGAGAAGTACTTTTAGTACTTCGCTTCATGTATTTGTTTTCAAGCAGATCCAAGATGCTTAGAATTTTTTTGTAGCATAGTAGTTTTTGCCCAGCTTTGGCCATTTTCATAAAATCAAGCTAGATAATGTTATGTTACCTTCCAGCCTCATATAATTCAGCAGCATCCAGTAAGGTCATGAGAAACTTGTAGTCGTGCAACTAGTGAGTTGGCTGGGGCTTGATAACAGCTCTACATGATCAACAAACGTTGATGTGAAAATGCCGTACTGGCTCAAAAGGTCAAGTGATGGCTCTTGAATCTCTCTCACACTCTGAGTAATTCTTACAGGTTCATCTCTTATTTCATATAAAATTGACTCTGATGTTCAGGCATATTTCAAACCGCATGGAGGTGGACTACATTGTTGAGTGTAAGCTCTTGCTGTTTCACATGTGTTGCGACAGCATGTTGTCAGGCTAAATGTGATCTAAACCCAGCAGCCTTCTTCAGGGAATTGATTGTATTGACCCCAGTGAATCACCCAACAAATGCTGGTGTCTGGACACATGGGGTAAATCAGTCAGCATGAACATTTTACGCCCGTGTTCCATCTGTTATTAAAAAGTACCACGGCAATACTACAACTACAATATAAATTTATATCATTTTAGAGTGGTTTTGGGGCATTTTCTTACTGGTCAGGCTGAGGGACCAGCTTAATCCAGTGAATCCAGCTAAGACCAGCTTAAGCTTGGTGTTTTTCCAGCAGGACGCTGTATTAAATTAAATCAATAAGCCACTCAAGGATGTGTATCATAGTGATTATACCATGGTTAAATAGGTTTTACTACCTCCACAATACTTTTGTTAATGACAGTATAATTATTATAGATTTTGTTTTCTCTTCAGATTCGCAAACGCAGACCAACTCCAGCCACTTTGGTCATCTACAATGAGCCCAGTGCATCAGGTAAGAGCTTTAAACCATTAAACAAGTTGATGCTTCATTGTAGTCACTGAAAGGGCTAGTTCAGCCTATATGGACCGTTGGGTCATAGCCAACAAGGCGCTATTGAACTAGAGCCCTGCTGTGTATCTAAATTAAGATAAGAATCTGCAGTGAACGGTCTGTCCCTCATTAAGCAGTAATTTTAGGGTAAAGTTCTCAGTATTCTCTCACTGAGCAGATCTCTAACTCTATACATTTGCTTCGGTTAACTGGCATCAGCATCCCTAATGCATTAGTACTAGACCTCATGACCGTTCTTTTCAAAAACAAACAAGATTTGGTCTATTTGTGCATCATTTGGAGGTGTTTTTCAAGGTTCGATTTCAGCTGTGGCGTATTTCTTTTGAATTTCTGCTATCATTTACGTAAAGCCGTGGGTTTCTGTATTGTTATGAAAATAGGCCCTCTCCAATTCTCATGTAGAATCATTATATGATATTGCGGGAGGAAATGTGCTCTTCTGGTTTAAAGGACAACTTGATAGGTCTGATGAGGTCATTTCACATCGGAGCGTCTGTAATCTAGCCTTGGGTCGGAACAGCACAACACGGTATGAATGTGGCAACGGTCAACAGGCTGCTATCAGCACAAACAACCCACCTATGGCGTCAGCATATGCGAGCGGACAGGCTGTGTGGACCATCGCACTACAGCTCTGTCATCTATTTCAAGCGTTGTCTCTTCTGGGTGAACTTTCAGTTTAACCCCAATGTAGAATGATGCGGCTTATCTATGAGTGGAATTCAGGGTTATTTGGGAAATGGATGGGATGTATTTAGCTGAGATTCAATTATATGTGCTATCTGCAAATGACACTTTGGAAGGTTAATATAGAAGCCTGTTCTCACCTCAGAATAAATAAAATAGGAATTGTGACTTTATATCCCACAATGTGCCTTTATAGCTCTCAGTGTGACTTCAAATCTCTCAAGATGACTTCATATCTAACAATGTGACGTTTAAAGGGGACATCGGATGCCCATTTTCCACAAATTGATATGATTATTTAGGGTCTTCATGAACTGTCTGCAACATACTTTGGTTAAAATTCCTCAGTGGTCATGTAAAACATCACCCTTTTTACCTTGTCAAAAACAGCTCTGATCACAGCGACCCATTTCGGTGCATGTCTCTTTAAATGCTAATGAGCTCTGCTCACCCCGCCCCTCTCTTCCATGGAAGATGAAAGGCGATTCGCAGTGTGAGACTTACTTCTTCTGGAGGTGCAGCTGGATCATGAACAGTGGGTCCAGCTACTGATCCATCCTTGAGTTTTAACTTGTTAGCAAAACCTGCCTTGAATTGTCCCTCGTTCAGAAAGCAGTCTGGAGTAAAATGATTTGCACAGACATAAACGAATTTAGGCGTATTCGGTGGTGCATTACCATCAAAAACAAAAGTAATCCACTGCGTCCTCAGTGGCTCTCATGTCGGGAGAAAATTAAGACTCTCATGTTCACCTTTGCATCCAACTAAAAACACCTGCATTGCATTAGAGTCTTTTCGCTACAGCTGCTCGAGCAAGGAGAAAATGCCGGACAGCGTATAACGGGCTGGGGGTGGAGATATGCTAATACGGGACAGTCCGTCAGTACTCGTGGGTGGGGCTTGTGCAATATATGTCATATTGCTCAGAAAATCAAAACAGCTTGATTATTGAGACTGTTTGGGCTTTTGGGGGGATTAAAAAAAGTAGTGATTGGACTTTTATCATTGTATGGTGGTTGTGACCACACACTGCTAACCACAATTGCAACCTTTTTCTCATACTGTAATTACGACTTTTTATATCACAATTGCAAATCTTACAGTGACATTTTATCTCACTTAATTTCTTATTTTAAACTCACGATTATCTTTTTAAAAAGTTTAAAAGTAAGAAACTGGCTTTACATACTGTAAAAGGAAAAATTGAAATCGCATCATATGACCCCTTTAAGACTTGCATGGAACATTCATGTGGTCTTCACCTGAAGACTTTTCTTTTCAAACCTACATTATGCAAGTTCATATGTTTTCCACATGCAAGCAGAATCAATAAAGTTTTCCACTTGAGGGAAATGCCAGCACATTAGCGTCATCAATAAACATGGTAACCTCGACCCTAATCCCACTCAACAGCCCACACAAGAAACTGTTTTTTTGGCTCTGTAAATGTAGAAAAATCATGTCAGAATGATCACGATTTGAGCACACATGAATGCCATCACAATGTTTTTGCTTGGATATTAAAGAATGAAGGTGGAAGCTAATTGGTATCATTTATAATTACGTTTTAATTGTAAATGTGGTTTGTATAATTGACTTTGTTCACATTTTGATGAGATGTGCCAGACAGCACTACTCATTTAGCCACGTTTATGAGGCGCCAGGCTTGTGGGACAAAACTTCCCATAATTCTCTGTGGCAGCATGAAAATGATCAAATACACAGATAAAGTATCATTTCCACACCTAATGCGCATTCTTTGATCTTCAGTGTTGCATTAGCATTAAACACGCTTCCTGTGTTTGTCAAGTGAAAAGAGAGAAAGAAATATGAAATTGCTCAATGCGTCCAATTTATTCAGACCAAAACTCTATAACGCATCACATCGTAATTATAACTTCCAAGCTTGTAAGTTGGAACTTCCCAGATGCACTTGAAGGCAGAAGAATTTTACAGAGGCATATAATGTCATATGCTCATGCTCATGTTGTGACAGTGAATTGTTTAAATGTGCTGGCTACTTTGAGGTCAGACATCAGTGATTCTTGAGAACTGGGACAAAACAGGCTACAGAACTGTAAAATCAAGTTTACTCTATGCATCAAGGAACTGTTTTGAATTAATCTGTTCAACATGTTCAGACGTTTTCACATATTTGGGTGCTGCTTCTTCCATGATATGTATATATGGCCGTATTTACATAAAGAGACAAATCTGTGAAACATTATCAAACAGGTATATATTTTTTCCACCTTTTCCTTTTGTCATTACATAGTAATGTTTTTATGTATTATTATATTATATTATTATATCACCCCCCTTTAAAATAATTACATGTTTTTGCTTTGCAGCCTAAAATGGAGACGGACACAGTTTTTGTTTTATCCAGCTGCATTTACTCAGTGCATCTTATAACATCCAAATGAAACATATAACACCAACATGTCAGAAAAAGAAAAAAAAAGCACAGCATTTCTGTTTTATATTTGCTCGTCGAATTTCTCTACAGAATCATGGGCAGCGTTGTTTTTCACCAGGAATAACACCATTAAACCATAGACTGTATAAAAACATGGACGTAGTGTCCGTGACGTCACCCGTAGTTCTCTGAAGAGTGTTTTTGCAGCTCAAAGTTGGCGGAGCGGGCCGTCACCATCTTGGAAGCTCATCACCGCGCGTCACTCCCGTATAATCAAAAATGGGCAAAAAGGTGGGAGCTGGTTGCTGAAGCCACGCCCACCTAGCTCGACGGCAGTGTCAGCAGCGGCAATCCACCTGTCACTCAAGTGGCCACACCCTTAATTATGCAGAACTTTAAGGCTTAATATAATTTAAACAGATTTAGTTATAAAAAAAAAAATCACCCCCCTCACAGTTGTCATGAAGGGCAAAATTAGCTATATAGACCAAAATCATGTTTTGAACCAGGCTGGAAACATGTTTTTTTCTTCTGCTGTAAAGTTGGGCATTTTAACATGGGGAGTCTATGGGATTGACTCCC